TCAGATGGAGCTATTTTGGGGCTGGAGAGATGGCTCAGCGGTTAAGAACACTGTTCTTGCAGAAGACCCAGGTTTGAATCCCAGCATCCACATGGCTAACAACTGTCTGTAACTCCAGTCCCAGGGGATCCGACAGCCTCTTCTGACCTCCATGGGTCTTGCACAGCATGGGTACACTTACCTACATGCAGGCAATACCCACATACACATAAAATAAAAAGAAAAAAAGAACAAAACAAAACAAAAACCTCAGGACTGAGGCCAGCAGGGGTTCCTGACACATTCAGGCTGTCTGTGTCCTTGCACCTGCTGCCCCTTCTGGAGGGGGCATCATTTGCAAGCTATTCTCTTGTCTCTTCCTCATCAATCTCCCATTCCAATTGCATCCAAAATGATAAAGGCAGTTTATTAATCCTCACATAAACCACATAAAGTGGATGCTACTGGCCTCATAAATCAAAGAACTAAAGAAACACTATAGGTCAGTTGAGAGTTGGATCCAAACTCAGGCAGCCTGTATCCCAGGATCCTGCACTACCTGGCTCTGCCTGAAGTGGGCAGCATGGCTTCTTCTCTGCTAGAACCATTCTAACAAGGGTGTAGGCAGGGGCTCTTACCTGGTCCTAGGTCCTGGGTCTCCAAAGCAATCAAACTGTCTCACTTGGCCTCTACGTCCTCTTCCCATGGTTCCCTGTAGCTGGCTCCTCTGCTTCCTGCTAAGGTTATCTCCCGAAGTAGCTTGATGATAAAAATCACCTGGAATGCTTGCTAAACATGAAGCCTCTCCAAAGCCTATTCTTGGTTCTGATTCACTGGATCTGACATGGTCCCAGAAATGTGAATTTTTAACAAGTGCCCTGGGGGAGTCTCAGGTTTGGGAAATGCTACTCTAGGAGTTTTTGCCAATGGGAAGAGCTATTACTGGCCTTTAGTATTATATATTGAGTAAAATTATTATTAAGAAGATCACATTTCTATAGCTACATTAATTGACAGTAATCAGTACATACAACACAAAGTATTTTTGTTTCTTTTTCCAGAGAGGGATGCCATATTGGGTGGATTGGGACAGTTGTGGTTTTTTTTTTGAATGAAGACTGTTGAAAGAATTCTTTAACGGTTGTGCCCATGAGGGAGTTTCTATGTTGCTCTGGTCATGGAACAGCTTAAACTAAATAGAAAGTATGCCATTTAATATAGTTCTTTTAAGTCCTGCCTATTTTGAGTAAGAGAAAATTAAATAAAGAAGAAGGAGCACAGAGCTCTCCTTCCTTACAGGACCCTAAAGCAAATTCTTTGTATAACAACAGGGAAGGACTTAGGCCTTCCAACTTGAATTTTTATAAGCCATATATAGAATGATTTAGGAGAACATTTTATAAGAAATTAATTCAATTTATATAGTGTAATCAGAAGCAGAAATGATCTTTGATACTCAAATAAATCAAATGTAAAACTGTTGAAACTTATGATTATTAAACAGTGTTTAATGTTCATAAATGATCTCATATGTTTCTAATTCACCCTGACATCACATTTGCTGCCTGTCACAATGGTGTTTCCACCTGAGACACTAGTCAAAGCCAAATTTCAATGGCTGCATTATGAGTCAGCAGGGGAAAAGGAGGATAAAAGCAGAAAATAATATCAAAAGACAGTCAAGGGGGTTAAGAACACAGTCTTTCTGCCCTGTGGAACACTCTGTACTCAGCCCCCTGAGGGAGCTGTCAAATACCAGTTAACAGAGAGAGGCCTGTCCCCAACTTCAAGGTTCAAGACAGACATACCTCTTGGTGGGAGTGGGCACTCCGGAGGACATGTGGCTAACCATGGTGTCATTCATGTTGGTCAGAGGGCGGGGAGGGCTGAAAGAAAAGACATTTACATGGCATTAAACAAATGAAAGAACAGGGAGGGCAAAGGGCCAAGCTATGGTTCCTAAGTGCAGGGAGCCATGGGGACAAGCTCAGAAATGAATTCTTCAAGCCTAAATAAACTCAACAAGGAATTCTTGATCACAAGGCCATAGGACCACTGAGCTGTGGGATACCAGAGGGAGGAACAAGCTATACAGATACTGAAGCTGGTGTGTTGGTGTATGCCTGTAATTCCAACACACATGGTTGATGCAAGAGCAGCCCTTTGAGGCCAGCCTGGGTTACATAGTAAGACCCTACCTCACCCTCGCAACACAAAAAAGTAAAAAGATTACTTTGGGGTAGAACTTTATTTTCTCCTGCTTTAGTTTTAGTATACAAAGATATAAGTTCAGATCTTTGTTTATTATTTCTGTTTTGGTGGTCATATAATAGGAATTAAACCCAGAGTCTTGCAGATTCCAGGCAAATGCTTTCTCTCTCAGCTACGATTCCACCCTGACTTGTGTTTTGTTTGATAAGATAGAGTCTCCTGTACCTCAGGCTGGTCTGGAGGTTGCTGTTGTAGCCTAGACTGACCTTCTGCCTCAACAGCTTCAGTGCTGAGATTATAGGATTGTGCTATTAAGCCCAGCTTATGCCACTTAATTTTAATTAATTTGTTTTTTTCTTTTTTCCCATTTAAAAATTTATGACTTGTGTATATATGTGTAGGCACATGAAAGCCATGGTGCCATCTGGAGAGGTCAAAGGACAACTTGCTGGAGAGTCAGTTCTCTCCTTCCACCATGTGGGTCTTGGGGAATCTGACTGGTTATCAGACCTGGCAGCAAAGTACCTCTACCTGCAGAGTCATTTTGTCTGCCCTAATTTCTGTTTCAAGCACAGAATTACTATGTTTGTTCATCACGAAGGTCACAATGCCCACATGCTACTTGCCTAGAGATTCAGTTAGTTAAAGCTCACTGTTACATTTAATTTGCAAACATTTTATGAAACATTTGTTTTTTTGTTTTGTTTTGTTTTGTTTTGTTTTCCTTCAGACAGGCTAGCATAACACTTGCTAGGTTACCTGGAATGACCCTAAACTCCTAATCTGCTGCTCCCACTTCACAAATACTAGAATTGCAGGTGTGTTCCAGCATGCCTGGCTCCAAGCATTTAAATTCTTAAATAGTAAATTCAAAAAATAATACTCTGCTCATGTCTGGTTCTGTAAACCCGGTCAAAAGCTCATGGTGGTGAGGTCATAGACCTGGGAGGAACTGACTACTGCTGTTTTACTCAATGGGCATGCTGTCAAACTGCCTTCTATATACTTAGACTTACACTTAGAGACTAGTGTTGCTCTTAGCCTTGGCCAGAGAAGGTTCTTTCTGCAATGGGGAGAGGTTAATGCAGAAACTTGTAACTGGTGAAAGTGCTAAGAATAAGTGACTGTTGAGTGTTGGCCCCTAAACAAGATATCTATATCACTCCCTCCAAGGCTCAGAAAACATCACAGAAGAGGAAGCTTGAAGGCTGTTAAGAGTTGGATGATGGGAATGAATACTGTGAAACACTGTCTTCTGGACATGACATGGCTTTTGTATTCATGAATTCACTGCAGCTGAGGTTACCTGCACAAGACTGTGCCTGTAAACTATTCATCATGATAGGAGGAGGTCTTGAGGCCCCATCCCTCCCTGAGGGAGGCAGTTAATGTTGGGAAGGGGGTGTCCTTGTCTTCAGTGGCATAGCCCATATTCCAGTAAGCAACCTGAAGCAAACTCAGTGGGTCAGAAAAACAAAACAAAAGCCAAAAACATCCAAGAGCATGTAAGGGGTGGGGGGGACCTTGTTGGGAAGAAGGGTTTTACTGGGACAAGGAGGGAGATAGGAGAAAGAGTAATAGAGGGAGTAAAATAGACCTAAATTCATTATATACATGTATGTATTTGCCAAAGGATAAAAAAGACTGATTTTTATTACTCCTTTACTAGAATCCTGACAATAAATTCAAATTTTATAGCTAATTCCTAATTAGAATGCTATCATCTGTAACCTAATCCAAATTTAAATTTGAAAAGAAGAACTTTTGGTAACTAGTCTTTAGCTGTTGGTTTTTTGGACTCAAAGCCTACTCTTCCCTCTTGGAGTGCATGAATCCAAGCCGAGAGAAAGGAGCCTACTATCTTGACTTCCACCATTCCTTCAACCCTTCTCCCTCCCCACTAGTGTCAGCCAAAGAAGGTTTTTGCCCTCCATCTGGAGCCACATGATTTTATCAAATACTCCTCTGGGAATCTTCTTTTCTCTCCTAAAGATGTGCTCTCCAGAGAAGCTGATCCATCAACAGCAGGAGCATGAAGCCCCAAAGTGTTCCTCTCACTTTAGGGGCTGGCTTCTGCTTACCTGGGTGATTTGCACAAAATGTTTTGAGGAAGTACATTTGCAATGCCTGGTGAATGTGCTGGGACTGTCACTGTATTATTTTGCAACTTCATGGAACATTCATGGAGAGGTTCTGGGGAATTGGTTCAGGGAGAGCCAGAGGGCCTAGAAGACTAAAGGATTTCTCTCTCCATCTTCTTACACACCCCCTACTTTCCTTAAACCAATTTCATTTCTTGGTAGGGAACCTTTAAAAAATGATTTCCTGTTTAATGGAAATAATACAAAATGGAAAGTGATTTGCAAGGAGCAGGTCTGGAACAGATTCGGGCCTCCTGAATTTTTTTTTTTTTTTTTAAGGAGGGGGAAGGTCTTGCTCTATAGCTTAGGCTGGCCTCCTGCTTCAGTCTTCCAAGTGCTGGGATAAGAGGCCTGAGCCACCACACCCAGCTTGGCCTCTTGATTTTTAGGCCATAATACTATGTATATTGTTCTACATTGCTTCCTTTGGGTGGTAAGATGTTAAGTAAGAGACTTAGAACAGAAATATGCCTTCTTAGGCTAGATTTCAATTCCAAGTTTTTGGCAGACTGTCTCCTAGACAAATATCTAAACTTTCAAGCCTATTAATGTTAATGACTGCACTGAGTTAAAGTCAATTAATCAATTGCTTTAGGTTGACTAATGATGGAAGAGATTGGAAAGATTAGCTTACTTTTAGTCCTAAATTTATATTTTTGCCTCTGGGTCTTTTAAATCAGTTATCCTGCTTGAAACAAGGAGATAATTCCAGTGTAGAAGCCAAGTCAGCAGAGCAGCTGTTAACACTCTAAGGGCACTAGACACATGCTGGTCCTGGAGACAAAAGGGCTTAGCTTATTAGTGTATTATTAGCAATCCAGTTCCAAAATAAGGACATGTTCATGTTGTATTCAGAACTAATGTAGTTATCTGGATTATTTCAATATTAAAGACACTACTGTATTCAATTTCCTTTCTGACACACTCAAAGGAAAAAAAGAGAGTAGAAAAAAAAATTAATTCCTTGAACATGGGTCCATGTGACAAAATGTCATGATCTGTAGCATTTTGTTTGGTCTTATGCTACTACAGTCTTTATATCTCCTGGCAGATAGCACACCAACTATTATCTTTAGCACACATACAGAGAAGCATCTTCTCTTAACATTCAAAGCCAAACAGTCATGATTACATTGTATTCTAGAAACTTCTCATATCCTGCCCCCCCCCCTTCCCAGTTCACATCCTTTCCAGATTCCTACCATGTGCTAAAGAGATATGTATAAGTTTACAGACCTATGAAAGAGGCACTTGCATACATTAAGAAAGTCCTTAGAGGCTGGAGGGATGGTTCAGCAGTTAACAGCAGACACTGCTCTTGCAGAGGACCTGAGTTCAGTTCCCAGAATTCACATAGTATCTCACAACTGCTTGTACCTCCAGCTCCAGGAGAATCTAGCACACTCTTCTGAATTCTTCGAACACCTGCACTCACACGTACCCAACCCCCCATATAATTTTTTTTAATCTTAAAAAAAAAAAGTCTCTGGTGCAGGATGTCCACCAGAGCTGCAGTTCACTGGGAAAACCAATAGCACTGAAGGATTCTCAGAAAATTATCTGACCTCAGAAACTTAATCTTCACCACACCACACCATACCACACCATACCACACCACACCTCAAAAAGTCCCACTGAGGACAGCTAAAAAGAATTGTTCGAGGCAGAACTAAAAAGATAGGTCACCAGGTGGCCCTATCTTCCTTTGGTGAAAATTTCAGCAAGGCATCCTTAGACATTAATGAGTGTGATACTAAAGTGGCCACCATTAACTGGGAACTTCCCTCTTGGTAATAAGGTATTCTTTTCTTTTTTTTAAAATTAG